AATAGGAAAAGCAAAGATCTAGCCTTTATGACTCAACTCAGAAATGCAAGGTAGATAAATCCACCACGGACTCGAAAGGGGGTGCATACAAGAAACGAAAGAAAGAACAAAATTAGTATGTGAGATGAAGAAACAAATGAAGCACAATTCAATTGAAGTAAAGAGCAACCAAAGCTACATAGGACAAATGAATACTACTGTATCAAAGGGAAAAAAAAACTTACTCTTCATCTATGACTTAACAGTGCATGAAGGAAATCAAAGCATGATAGGAAGTAATGAATTTAACACTAGACTATCACAATCTACGCAGAAGGAAATTTCAAGCCATATGTATACACACACAAGAATAAAGTTTATAAGCAAGTGAAAATGGATGTAATAAAAGCAGCTCACAATATGGTAAACAAATAGTTAGTAATTAATATAATTATGTATAAAGAGAGAGGGAGCAGGCTAACGAACAATCAACTATGTATCTAATAATAAATAAAGCCACCTATCGCAGAGGTATCATAAATCAAAGATATGGAGTAAGCTAATTTTATTTATTTGGAAACAAAAACCACCAAACATGACAATCGAACCACGAGGAAATTACCACCAAAGATTCAAGTTTAATCATCCTAAGGACAAAACTCTAGCCAACTAAAATATAAGAGACTTAAATGGGGATATACATACATGAAAAGAGAGCAAATTACTATGCTAAGTATTCCTAAGGATATGTATCGGGACAGCGAGATCATGATGAGATATTAAAACATTTTAAGCAAAATCAAATCTGAAGCGGGGCTACATTTGAGTAAAAAATGAAAATGGCATGGCCAAACACTAGATCTTCCTATCATGGCAAAGAAAGACAACCTCATTCAAGTATAATACTTCTAAACACATAAAGATTAAGCACATGCAAGGAAAATATCTCGAAATGAACCCACGATAGTTTTAACATGTGCTAAAAGACTAGAAAAGCTATAAAGTCATACCGGTTTAATTAAACTAAAAAAAAAAAAAAAAAACTGAACACATTTTGCTAAGAGAGTGTACCATACAAATTACATATATTGTTAAATCAAGGCTACTTTCTTTATTAGAGATTAACAACACCAAGCAGTGAACAAGAAACATAGCAAAGCAAATTCACTACGAAACTTCTGAATCATTTTTGACAAACAGAGAAGCAGTAAAGATGAACTACATGGACGACATAGATTAGGCAAATAACAGATGCTAAAAATGGTACCAAGCCAAAAGCCAAAATCTTATCCCATGAACTTGAACACACACTGGATGCTTACAATCCATTAAACAATTAACCAAGCATATTGGTGGAACAAAATCTAATTTGTTAATACTTAACAGAAAGCTAGTACACCATTTCAGAAATGAATAAGTAAATGACATATCAAGTTTAGAAAATCAGCCGACATAATTAAAATTGAAAACTTCAAAAGATAAAAATACGAGAGGAAGAGGAAACTTGATAAAGGGAAAGAGATTACCTTTTCGGGGGCAATGAGACTAGGACAAACGAGCTGAGAACAACGACTCTTCTACTATGAAATCTATATACGAACAACACGCTAAGAAACTCCGAGCGTCGATCTTCTCGGAACTTAGAATCACAAATCTAGCTATGAAATTCTTAAGTGTAAAATGTCTATCGCTCAAAACCCATGTCCTAATCGCTAAGAGTAGGGGGGTATTTATAGGAAAATATGGGGTGATTTTTTTG